AAATGAAAATTTGCTATTGTTTACGACGAATGATAACTGTAAATATTTAAGCGAATCTATTTGCTGGTTAGCAGATGGAACATTCGAGGCTTGCCCTCAAATTTTCGAACAAATGTATCTTATTCACGGATCAATTAAACGCGGAACCGATGAAATGTTCGTACCATTAGTATTTGCTCTGATGAATGGTAAAAAAGAATAGCTATATAATCAAGTATTTTTTTTATTAAATGAATTTTGCCTCAAAAACAATATTAATATTACACAAACTAATGACYTGGAAATAATAACAGACTTTGAAAACAAGAGGAAGACCAAGAAAAGAATCAGTTTACACACCTCCACTTTTCACTCCAGAATTATTGTCTGTAGCTGAAAGGTTATCATCAGGATTGCCCAGGACGACAAATACGGCAGAATCCTGGCATAGAAAATTAAATAGATCAATATCGCCACATCCATGTTTGTCTGAAATCGATATTATTATTTATCACTAATTATATTATTAATTTTATTATTATTTGTCGTAGGACTGCATATTAAATTAATCAAAACCTTACAATCTACTCAGAACGAAACTAAAGCAGTAATTGAGATGTTACTTATGGACGTAGTAATAAAAAAATRAAAATTCAAGTACAATCCCAAAATATACGCTTAAAAGAAGTGCAACAAAGACTATTAGCTGATCCGGGTTATGATTTATTAGAGTATTTAAGAGGAATAGCTCAAAATTTATAGTTTTAATTACTCATTATATTATATTATTTATACTAATATTAAATTTATGTTTTTTTTTTTTTAAATAATTAACACAAAATATATATTTTTCGACCAAAAAGTGTTCGACCAGATACCTTTGCGATCGCTTTTTTTCGATCACTAGATTTTCGGCMAGACAACCCCCACCCCATCATTGGAAGGAGACGTCTTTCTTTYCAACAACTCTGGAGAACGGCCAGAAGATCAAGCTAGGGAATGAATACAGCAGTATTGTAAGCATACATTTTATAACCATCTCTTTTGGTCTATCGTGTAACAWAACTCWACTCTTATTTTTATGTTWGTTAACTTGTTTTATTATTATGTTACAATATTACAATAAATCATTTTACCCATGAGGGTTGAACAAATATATATAAAATTAGGGGATCACAAATATTGGGGTTTCAAGAGGTACAAGATTTGTTCTATCTTAAAATTATGCTGTATTTTATTATATAATTATATGATGATTAGAAAAAAAAATATTTTATCACACATAGACTATTTAAGTGTTAAGTCTATTAGTTCAAGTTCATTATTTTTATTTTTATTGTATATTTCTTGAATTTAAAAGATGATTCTTAAATTAATTCTTGAAAATCTTCCTTCATCATTTAAAAACGTTATAACTGTAACTAATGATGATATTACAACAATACGGTCAAATTTAAATGATTTTTCAAGTATTGTAAACAATGGGCTTAATTAAATAATAGCCATATGACTAATATGAATTAAAATTTGTTTGCTACCTACATAATAATCTCACCAACATCTAATTAAGTATTATTGATTTGATTATTATATAACTTACAATTAATTTTTTTATATTATACTTTGTAGGCAATAAACATAATATGTAAAACTTTTATTTTTAAATGTTGTAATATCATGGTAACATGGTGTTATTGTACTTATACAACATGATTTTAATTTATCAACAAAATCTTTAAAATGGGTTGGACATGATGACATTGTTTTCGCATTAATTTATCAATTAGGGGGGTATTAAAATTAATATTTCTATTACATGATGCATAAAAATCTATTTTTATTTTATTTTAAAGCC